TTCTACTTATACGGGCGAGAAGTGGTTTTCTGCTTGACGTGAAACAGTCGTAGGGCTGGAGGGCTACATACGTGGCTCCTACGTACAAGTAATTTGGCTAGTTTGTTGATGGATTGTGATGAATATTTTGTGCTGAAATATGCAGGTACATGGATTAGAATCTCTAAGGATGGAAATCAGACGTAAATAAAAAAGTTTTATTTTACATCCGATCAACTCTTTTATTAATCTGTGTGCTAGTGTTTGGGTTTGTTGATGAAAATAATGATAATCCTGACGAAGCCATTGAATGAATGAAGGTGAAGATGATGATAATCAGTAGATTGACATGACATCCCAATTTTTGTTTTGGATTTCAACTCTATTGATTCCATCATCAACTCCCAAGGGCCATGATGGAGAGCCCTCAAGGAGCTCTCCATCATCCCTTTTGAAGGTGTGATTTTTAGTGGAGCGCTCCATCATGCATCTTAAGGGTGTGATTTTTTTAGTGGAGCTCTTCATCATGCCTCTTAAGGGTGTGATTATGGAGCGTGAAAAGACCCCTATGGTGTCCTAGGGGAGTCTTAGTAGTCCTCCTGTACTTTATTCAAATCTGAAAAGCCTGATGAAACAATAGTGCCCGCCTGAGGCGACTAGATAATCGCCGCACACCTCAACGCATCAAACCCATGATTCGCCACACGTCTAAAAACTCGCGACAGTCTAAGAAATCGATTGCTACATCGCCGGCAGCCCCAGAGTTTTTATGCCCACATAACAATAAGTTTTTATATCGCAAGGGTTATCGTGGGAGTGAGGGCACGACCAGTGACACCTGACACGCACGTAATCAAAGCTGTTAAAGAGACAGTAGACCTCAGGATTTTACTGCATACAACTGTAACTTTACTGGTTAACAAATCGTCTATACCCACTGTATTTGTCACCAGATACTTAATTAATTATTTACACTCAAACGCTATGAAATTTGAAGCAGCGCCATGACACCCGCGACCGCGTGCTGCGGCACTCTGAAAAAGTGCGTATTTGCATTTTCGATTTGCAGAGCAAATGACCGGGAGCTAATCAGCAAAAGTGCCAATTATATTTCTACTAAATGCTATTTAACCGAACCGATATTACATTTTAGGCAAATTATCCATATATAACTAAACTATATGTCTTTATACAGATATTAAAATCTTTTGCTTTTAAATGAATAAATAAGCAAATACCCTCGGTCTGTAGCCCTTGGCTTAGAAAGGTGGTCTTTGCGCAACTTTTGAGGGTAGTCGCGCTTGTGAGTGGCGCCACCGTCGTGTATAATCAAACTGTAGTCGCTTAGTTTTAAAACTTATTTTTTAAAAATATTGTCTACTGGTGATTAAACCATGAAACTTTTTAATGTAGCCGCATTGATAACCTAGATTAGGGCTGAAAATAACTCTAGAACGCCTAAGAGGCTACTGCTCCTTTTAACTGAAATTCGCTCACTTTCTTAATGCAGAAAGTGGACTATTTTCATTCAGTTAGATTATCTAGAAGGCAATAATTCTAGAAGTATATCTCTAGATTCTAGGCACTTGCTAACTTTTGGCGGAATGTGCGGCAGCATTGTATCTATGCGCAGGGGGCTACCTGGACTTGGGGAGGAGAAAAAACGAAAAGTAAAACCTTGCCCAGAATGCTCCCGGCATTCCTAGGCAGCATTGCCAGTCCAAGTTTTTTTAACATACTCAAAGTAACTAAAAACACGGCTCTGAAGTTTCATGAACCTTGGCTCAGTCGCGATGTAAAAAGAAAGTTTGAAAGATGAAGGATAATGAAAATGTAAAAAAAAGACTTGAAAAAAATAACCATACCATTTTACCAATGATTATAAATTCTTGATTTCCTGTCTTTGTCATGTACCTGACTATGTTACTGTGTAGTGCAATATCTGATCCTGTGTGAATGAAATTGAATAAGAATGTGAATTGGTTTTCTTAGTCGTCGTGAAATGAGATAAAAAAAATTCGTGAAACGAATGTAATTTGTTGAAAGATTTCTTTAACACTGATAGTCTCATACTGGCTGTATGCTCTAAAGAAACGGTATTGCCTATGGGTTAGTATATTGACGGTAGTCCACCCAGCGTGGTTGGGTTAATACTGGTGCTGTAGTGCTGAATGCTGATGAATAATATTAGAGTCGGTGCATCGAAAATTATGAAAATTATAACAAAATCATGCTTTGAAGAAAGTTAAAGCGCTGCGCAAGCCCTAAAATAGCTCCCGTAAAAAAAGTAATTTTTAGGCTGGCGCAGCAGAAAAATAAAAAATTTACCAAACTTATTATTGTTGTTATTTTCTACTAACCTTCTACATGTATTTTCTTAATGCAAAATGAATGGGTAAATTTAAATCATAATATTAAACTCAAAATAGTCAAATTCCGAAGGCCTAAAGTTCCATGCGAAGCTACACAAACTGCTCCAGTGTTTGTTGCTGTCTACGATTTTCTAGCGGTCATGCTGTTAAACCTCTGCCTAATTCGATATACGTGGGCATGCCCCGACACAATCACTGAATGACAGCGACGCGTAATAAAAGTATGAATATTTGATGATAATAGGAATATGGCCGGGTCTTGCAGAGACCGCTGATCTTTGAAATCGACTTGCGGACTTGTTCCGATTTACTACGCATCCGGTATCGAAACGTGTAACCTATATAATGTTTAAGCAATACCTTGAGAATGCACATCAGCCAAATTGCACCATCCCCGCCCTATAAAAACGTCCCCACATCCAAGTCATTCAGTTTGCTATGACATGAAATCCTGCGACCCAGTGCCTAGACTGACCAGGGACCAGTGCCTTCCTCAGCAGAGCAGCTGGTTTCGTGGCACCAGTGCCTCCAATTATCAGTTTTTCACCCTGGCATCGGGCGATAATATCAAAACGTTTTTGATCTGTGCGTGGCATCGCGGCCGATGGCATTCGGGGATGAAATCGGCGCGCCGATTGAGTGGACACAAGCCAGGCGATTTTCACGGCCGATGCCATCGGCCGATGCCCATCGCTGTGGTGTGTCCGGCCCTTTAGATTTGGCAGTCATGGTGACGCAAACAAACACATTATCTGCCTGTTGTTGGGGGTCGCAAGCTATGGGGCACTATGAGTATGAGAGCCATTAGTGGCCCCCACAACAGGCATTACATATAATAAATAGAGACTGGGAAAACAGCGCGATCATGGAACAGGGCGAACGTGTGCGGAAAATCATTAATAAAAAGCAGCACAGTCAGATTGGAGTAAAGCGGGATGGTAACATAAAAGCACACTAGAGCTATTGATAAGGGAAAATATTTTCCTAACAAGAAACCTTTTACAAATAATGAAAAAATCGGCAGTAAGTTGCTGCTACCAATGCTAGAGGCGGGAGTGCCTCCCGTAAAAAAAGACAGGAGATGTTTAGGGGAAGAAAATTGCACTGTGTGCAATAAGGGAGTGACCAGAAGACTCAAGACAATTCCTGTGTTAGTTTGCCCCGCATACAAACACCTAGAGGAAGATCATTGTTGGGACAGGCTCAAGAAGTGGGGCTCACGCCCTGCACAGGCTGAGGAAAGAGGCACGGTGATGCCCAACCATCTTTGGCGGCTAAATAATCATAGATTTATTAAGGGAGCTAATAATGACTTTGTCCATTACTTAAGCTCCTGTGTATATGGGATTGGGGGAGATCAGCCGTATAAAGGCCCATAAATCGCATATTTGCGGACCATCGATTATGCCCGCAACGTTGACGAATGCTACAGTAATACTGGCACCTTGTGTACGCTTACTCAGTACATTACCTTATAGGCCAAAGCGCGTATTCAGTCTGTTCGCAATATCACTGCTAATTACTAAGAAACTGTCTATTGAAATCCGGAAATTTGGTAATCTGGCGGCACAACGCTAAATTTAGTTGCCAACAAAAATAAAAGGCATCGAGTTCGGTTCGGTGACGTCACATGTTGCTACAGGATGTTGCTCGAATTGTTCTGTCCCGGCGTAAATTGTTTGGCCAAGTGTTTATTATTTGCGCTAGTTGCCACATATTTATAATGTTGCTTGTAATCTCAAAGAACTTCGCGTATATTCATTTTATTCCCGAACTCCCAAGAGTAAAGACCATAACGTACGGGAATGCGCGCACTCAGACTACAAGGATCCGAAATCACTCGACGGCGAGCATACGGTGCAAAATGCTCCGGTGCACTATAATCGAGAGTGTGTGTGTGTGTGGGGGGGGGGGTAGAGGATTGCTGCAGTGAGCAATTATAGCATCATGTCTTGAAAAGTGGCCGTGATTTGCGTTTGAGCGAGTGCGCTCTTCGAGAAAACGATTCGCACATTAGATCTCAGAGAGAGATTCTTTTACCCTAATGGCACAGCTATAAATAAGATTATGTGAAATAACTTAATGCGAAATTGGATGCTTAATTATGGATGACGTTTCAGTAGCCATGTCAGGAGTCAGAGAGATTTGATTAACTATGTCCAACGTTTAGTGTTGCATTGCTTGTATGTCTTATTGATTCTTTTTTTTTGGTAAGCGTAATAAGTGAAATTAAAATGGGCATTTCTTTGCTGTTTTGGCATGTTTTGCCACGTTGTGTCAGTTATGTGCGTGCAGCCAGTAGTAAAGTAGTGAAATATCAAGATAAAAGAAAATACGCACGAAATGCACACGTGAACATACGTGATCATTTTATAGAGAGAGAGAGAGATGAAAGTAAGCGAAAAAGAGGATTTGCAAGTAGAGAGTAAACTGAGTGAAAGTGGGTTAGAGACGTTAGCTGGCAGGATGAGACAGATAAATATATGTGTGCGTGCGTGCGTGCGTGAGTACGTATGTGGGTGTCTGTGTGCAGATACGTTCGCATATATGTAGATAGATAGGGGACAGCGAGAGAAAGGGCGAGCATTTTAGAATAAAGAGGACAGCTAGAATCCGCTGTATGTGTGTGTGTCTGTCTGTTTGTGTGTGTTTGTGTGTGTAGGGAGGGAGCGTGTGATATGTCACCGCTGTGTTCTGTGTTCTTCACGCGTGTGTTTTCTCGTGCAGGAGGTGGCAGTCTGTTCGGTACGTCCCCAGCGTCCCTCGCCGCACTGCCTCCGTACGCTCACCTGCCCGGTGCCTACTCGATGCTCAGCCACCCGCTCGCGGGTCTCCCGCTGCCGACGTCACCCAACGACTACACCGCGATCAGCTCCCTCAACTACTCACAGACGACAGGTACGGTGTCACCGCGGTAACGCGTCGCCATGACGGCGGCGCAGGCGCATCATGGAGGGGGGGGGTCTTCTACTGGGTTGGCTTCAGGGGCTTTGGCGAAAATATGTGGTGCCGTGATAGCGAGCAGTTGGAATTGACCCTGGCCGTCTTGCCAGGTTTCTCAAGTTCTCTCTCATCTTTTGCAATTTTGAACAATTGTTCTGTTGTCCGCCAGGTGGCGCTGGTTGGTGGATGTCGGCGTCGGAGCACGTGCGTCGCATGGCGGCACTGAACGACTACTTTGCGGCGGGTCTCAGCGTCGGCTTCCTCCCTACGTTTGGTACGGGGGTGCCTGACGGCGTCCGACCGTCCGGCTTTGATGCGCTGCTGCAGCAAAGTCTGCTGGCGAGTCCATCATCACAAGGTGAGTGTTGGGTTGGTCAGCGGCGGAGGAAGAATGCGAGGTTCTCCCCTGGGAAATATTATGGGGCACGATTACGATAATGCTCAGGGATACATGTGCATGCACGCGGGTTCTCTTTTCATTCATTCTTTTCTCCTTTCCGTTCCTCTAGCCATTCATCTATCCATCCATTTTTCAGCCATCCACCTGTCTGTTCATTCGTCCATCTAGCCATCCCTCTGTTTGTCTGTCATCTATCCATCTGTTCTTGCATCCACAGGGTTAGTACGGGGCCCGGAAAACCATGAAAATCCTGAAATTCTAAAACGACATACAGTAAAAACCCGCGTATAAGAACATAGATTTTAAGAACATGTTAGGCTAAAATTTCGCATTTAGACCCCTTTACATAAGAACCTGTTTTAGGCTAAGATTTTAAAGTAGGTTCTTAATTTTCCATGCAGATGAAGACTTAAAAAGAAACACAGGTAAAATAAAAAAGACGAGCTCAACAATATCGATGCAATAACAATGCCAATGCCAATGCCAATGCCAATGCTCAACAATAACAATGCCAGCACCCTGGCATTGTTATTGAGACACAGTACTGCATTATTTACATATACAGTAAAAACCCGCATAAAAGAACACCTTACACATAACACTACTGTACTGGTAACACATGCATCACAGTCACTAAGCCCGCGGGTAGCGCGGGTTTCAGCTAGTACATATTAAAAGTAGAAACAATTAAGAACCTATTTAAGAACCTTTTGAGCCTAATTTTTCAGTAAGCACCATTTATATAAGAACATGTTGAGGCTAACTTGGAAAAATCTATGTTCTTATACGCGGGTTTTTACTGTATTCCAGGTCTGGAAAGTTCTAAAAATAAGTTATTGTTATTATGTGGTCCTAGAATGTCCTGGAAAGTGAGCTCATGTCTATTGTGTCCACAACTTAGCAATTACATTAACAAATTTAATACACTGATAGCCCTATTTACTGCTTGAGAAACAACAACGCTTGATTTAGGCATGAGTTTGTTCATTTATTGTTCCTTGGATGATACAAGGTACAGAGATTGCATTTGAAATAAATCTTTGTGTCCATGAAAATGTCCAGACCAAAGCTCTGGAACAGTCCTGGAACAATATTTGGTCTTATTTGTATGAGCCCTGATGCATCTGTCCATTCTTCTATCCTTCCATCGATGCACAGTGGTTATTCGAGTTGGTTACTTTAGCAAGATCTCTTGAGGGATTATCAACATATAGATGGCGTGAGCAGCGATCTGGTGTATTAATGCATTGTTGTCTGTCATAGATCTCCGTCTGGGTAAGAACAATTGCACGCCGTCATCGTCAGCGTCAGCATCATTGTCAACACTGTCGTCATCACCGTTGTCGCTCGTCAGCAGTGCTGCCCCCACTGTGTCATCCCCGTCACATTCCACGCCGAGGCCATCTTCCAGGTAAGATCAGATAACGAAAGATGGGTGAGAAGGTGGGTGAGGAAACTGGAACATGGAGAATTCTGCATTTTTAGAGGAAGATGTGGGTGAAGGATAAAGAGAATCTGGGAGTGAATAAGAGGGGGTGGAAAGGGTGATAGTTGGGAGTGAGGTTGATTGGATGGGCACAGTGAGGCTAGGGGGAGTGAATAGAGAGAGGAAGGGGTGAGGCAGAGAGGTAGAATCAAGAGCAAGAGCAGGAAACAGGGAAAGAAGAAGTGATGGCAGAAGTAAAGGAGGGTATATGGCAAGATAGAGAAAGGGAAAGAGAGATTGATTGAAGGACAGAGAGATATAAAGGCAGGGAAGAGAGAGAGAAAGTGCGGGAGGTAAGGAAATGACGAAAGGAAGGAGGCAAAAAAGTTACAGGGTGAGAGGAGGGGAAAGGGTGACATTAAGACAAGGGAGGAAGAGGTGCAGATTTAGAGAATGACAGGATGAAGAGAAGGAGAAGAAGGGGACGAGGGGAGGAAGCTGGGAGGAAGCAGGGAGAAGGTGAGGATTCCCTGTAGTCGATGTCCGGCCGCGACTATTTCACCACACACAGGTCGAGGAGTCGGACACCGTCGTCCACTCCATCCTCAGCATCAACGAGCTCCATCCCACCGTCAGCCAAGCATGCCGTAACCACGACGACAACAGCATTCATTGTGCGATCGCCCGTCGCCAGCACGAGCGCAGCGTCGTCATCCGCGCCGCACACGAGCAGCTTCTTCCTACCGCCGGCGCCCTCTCCTGGCCGGCCGGACAAGTTGCCGTCGGCGACCGCGACAAAGTCGAACACTCCAAAGAGCAGCTCGGCGAGCGAGGGCAAGGTGCGTGTCAATGGTGGGGATGGGTTCGCTGTAGTCGGCTGCATTGCTCTCTTACAATGTCAGATCTCTGCCGTCACATTCCACATGTCAGGGGCACGTCGATTCCACTCACAGATAACTGAAGCTCTGTAATATAAGCTCTGTAACAGGCATAACTAGATTTCGGCAGAACATTAACAATTACCTTATTAGTAGTCGTTAACCATAGCTTCAACCCTATTTTCATCTCCTACTTCCTATCCCCATCCCTGATCCTAATTCCTAACCATATCACAACCATGTTTCCTAACACTAATTACTATTCCTATCATTGATACTACTGTATACGCTGTATATTTCATAGTCGATTAATTTTCGCGAATTTCACGAACGCGTCCCCGACCGCGAAAATAACAACACGTGAATAATTCATACTGAATAATACGGAATATTTCATAATTCACCAACCGCAAAATTGTCCGTCAAGTCTGAATTCGCGAAAATATATGTACGCGAAAAATATGGCTTATACAGTAATTCCTAACCAACCCCAACCCTGTTTCCTACATATGATTCCTATTCCTAATCCTGACCCATACCGCAACCCTAGTTTCTAATCCTAATTCTTATCCCTATTGATGGTCTTAACCCTACCTCGAATTACTAACTCTAACTCTAACTTTACTTCCCAACCTAAACTCCTAACTTTAAAAATTAACCCTTACAGTATTTCAGAATCCTTTTAACACAGTTAACTGTTGCTAAGGATATTAGGTATGCAGCCAGCTCAGCATGTACACACGCATCTGTCTCAGTAATCCAGTCGATACATACACACTGCTACGCAGACCACACTGAAGGGGGCTGGATGGGGGCTGGACACCTAATGTCCGCATCAGCAGCACAGCACGCTGTCGTAGACGAATACTGAAATTCTGTGAGGGTTAGTTTTACAGTTAGGAGTAAGGGTTCGGATGTAGGGTTAGCGGTGAGAGTTAGCGGGGGGGGGGGGGTTGTAATTCTGTGGGGATTTCTTGTGACTCTGGGTGAGAATTGAGCGTGAATTCTTCATTGTCTTCTCTCACGCGTTGCGTTGCAGCAGAAGACGGCGGAGAGTTCCTCTGACAGTGAGGTGGCGGACAGCGAGGGTGCTGACGTTAGCTCGGGCAGCAGTGTCAGCTCAGACTCCGCTTCCGATTCAACCGACAACGATGACATGAGTCTGCAGCAGGTGAGAGCAGTGCCCCCACACCGCCATGTTCCCATCCACCCCTCTCCCTGCTGCCACACCGCCATGTTCCCCTCCCCCCTCTCCCTGCTGCCACACCGCCATGTTCCCCTCCCCCTCTCCCTGCTGCCACACTTCCATGTTCCCCTCCCCCTCTCCCTGCTGCCACACCTCCATGTTCCCCTTCCCCCTCTTCCTGCTGCCACACCGCCATGTTCCCCTCCCCCCTCTCTCCCTGCTGCCACATCGCCATGTTCCCCTCCCCCTCTTCCTGCTGCCACACCGCCATGTTCCCCTCCCCCCTCTCTCCCTGCTGCCACACCGCCATGTTCCCTTCCCCCTCTTCCTGCTGCCACACCGCCAGTTCCCCTCCCCCTCTTTCCTGCCTGCCACACCTCCATTGTTTCCCTCCCCCCTCTCTCTGCTGCCCACACCTCCATGTTCTCCTTCCCCTCTCCCTTGCTGCCACACCGCCATGTTTTCTTCCTTCCCCTTTCTCTTGCTGCCACACAGCCATGGATTCCCCTCCCCCTCTTCCTGCTGCCCACACCGCCATGCTTTCCCCTCCCCCCTCTCCCTGCTGCCACACCACCCATGTTTCCCCATCCCCCTCTCTCTGCTGCCACACCTCCATGTTCTCCTTCCCCTCTCCCTGCCTGCCACACCGCCATGTTCTCCTTCCCTTTCTCTTGCTTGCCACACAGCCATGCTTCCCTCCCCCCCTTCCTGCTGCCACACCGCCATGTCCCCTCCCCCTCTCCCTCTGCTGCCACACGCCATGTTCCCTCCCCCTTTCATCTCTGCTGCCAGCACCTCCATGTTCCCCTCCCCCATCTCTTGCTGGCCACACCTCCATGTTCCCCTCCTCCTTCTCCCTTCTGCCACACCTCCATGTTCCCCTCCCTCCCTCTCTCCCTGCCTGCCACACTTTCCATGTTCCCCTCTCGCTCTCTCCCTGGCTGTCCACACCGCATGTTCCCTCCCGTTCTCCCTGCTGCCCACACTTCCATGTTCCCCTTCCCTCTCCATGCTGCCACACCGCCATGTCCCTCCCCCCTCCTCCCTGCTTGCCACCACTGTCCATGTTCCCCTCCTCTCTCCCTTTGCTGCACCCTCCATGTTCCCCTTCCCCCTTCTTCCTGCTGCACACCGCCATGTCCCTCCCCCCCTCTCTCCTGCTGCCCCACGCCATGTTCCCTTCCCCCCTCGTTTCCTGCTGCCACACGCCATTTTTCCTCTCTCCCTCTCCCTGCTGCCCACACCTCCATTTATTTTCCCCTCCCTCTCCCTGCTGCCACACCGCCATGTGCCCTCCCCCTCTCTTCCTGCCTGCCACATCGCCATGTTCCCCTCCCTCTTTTCTCTTCCTGCTGCCACACCTCCATGTTCCCCTCGCTCCCCTCTCTCTGCTGCCACACCTCCATGTTCTGCCTCCCTCTCCCTTTGCTGCCACACCGCCTGTTCCATCCCCCCTCTCTTTCTGCTGCCCACACCTCCATGTTCCCTCCCCCTCTCCGCTGCTGCCACACCTCCAATGTTCGCCTCCCCCCTCCCTGCTGCCACATCTCCATGTTCCCTCCGCTCGTCTTGCATGCCACACCTCCATGTCTCCCTCCCCTTACTTCTCCCTTGCTGACCACACCGCCATGTTCCCTTCCCCCTCTTCCTGCTGCCACACCGCCATTTTCCTCTCTCCCTCTCCCTGCTGCCACACCTCCATTTATTTTCCCCTCCCCCTCTCCCTGCTGCCACACCGCCATGTTCCCCTCCCCCTCTCTTCCTGCTGCCACACCGCCATGTTCCCCTCCCCCCTCACCCTGCTGCCACACCGCCATGTTCCCCTCCCCCTCTCTCCCTGCTGCCACACCGCCATGTTCACCTCCTCCTCTCCCTGCTGCCACACCTCCATGTTCCCCTCCCCCTCTCTCCCTGCTGCCACACTACCATGTTCCCCTCCCCCTCTCCATGCTGCCACACCCCCATGTCTTCCTGCCACTCTCCCTGCTGCCACACCCCACATCTGGCTCCCCTCTCCCCACTGCCATGCCCCCTGTCTCCCTCCCCCATCTGCCACACCCTGTGTCGTCTCCCTATTCCCCACGTCCACAAACTCGAATCGAATCGGTGTGCCCCTTCGTATCATTCATGATCATATGCCGTCTTATCAGCCTACAATCAGGGTTGCAGTTGTGTGAAGATGATCTGTGAAGATGATCTGTGAAGGAAATCTGTGTAAATGATCTGTAAACATGATCTGTAAACATGATCTGTAAATATGGTGTCTGAAGGTAATCTCTGTCGTTTGCTGTGAATGATCGTGGCTGATGTTTGGATTCGTTGCTGCATTCAGGTAAAAGCTCAACTGAAGGCACGGCAGAAGGAGCTGCTTGCCCAGGAGAGGAAGCTGAAGCAGGAACAGAGGAAGTCGATGGAGAAGAAGCTTCTCACTCACGAGCACAAGCATCCTGACGAGGTGAGGACCTCACGGACCTCCTCCTACCTCGGGTCCTCCCTTGCATGCAGGGTCTCATGGACCTTCCTCCACACAGGTTGTGACAGACCATCGCTCTCCCCCCAAATGCAGGGCCAAACATACCCCCATCCTCACAGGGCCATACAGACCCCCCTCACGGGCAAGCAGACCCCCTCACAGGGCCAAAAACAGACCCCCGTCACAGTGTCAAAACAGACCCCCTTTCCCACCATCGCACGCATTGTCTAAACCCCCCAATGCATACCCAGAGAGACCCCGAACACCACATGCAGGGTATAGCAAATTTTCCTATACTAATGGGCATGGGAGTGCACCCTTGGGCTCTAATTAAAGTCATGCTATGTGTAAAACCGATTTAACAATCGCAATTCTAACATTTTTTTTTCACCGCGAAACTAAAGGACCAATGAGCAAACCCTTTAGCCATGCCACGTCTATTACAACTGACTTGCTGTAATGGACGAGTGATGGTCATATTTATCGGTGCTCGTGAGTGAGAAGCTTCTTCTCCATCGACTTCCTCTTTTCCTGCTTCAGCCTCCTCTCCTGGGCAAGCAGCTCCTTCTGCCGTGCCTTCAGTTGAGCTTTCATCTAATTTGCCAACCATTTGCAGTATTTCTCAAGTTATGTCTGACTCAGTGATTCCTGCCAAAATCAAATTGCTTTATCAGGTTGCATAGATTAGCTGGGATCAACCATGTTGAATGTTTGCGTGATTACGATATATCTGATCCATTCATGAATTTGCGTGTACACCCCAGCAGCAATGAACCTATCTGACCCATCTTGCATGATTGATAGGCATCTCTAGCCAATCATTGTAGTGATAAGATGCTATAAAAACAATGCTTGACAATGAAGTGATGAAACGAAATTTTAATGTTTATATGTGAAAAACGTAAATTGGTCAGGCTTGACCGCCCTAACAGCAGTATCCGAAGGAATGTAGTTATCTATCGCTCGGACAAACAAGTCGACTTTAAAGATTTCATGGAGAATAACATGTCGCCGTGGGCAACAGCACCTCGAGTCGACATCGTATATTGGTCGTTTTTAGCTCGCCTTGACATCGTCAAGATGAGCTATTGCCATGGGGTGTCGTCCGTCCGTCCGTGCGTCAACATTTGACTCCGGTCAATGATAACTCAAGAACCGTTTGACCCACATGTTTCAAATTGCATGCAGTTGTTACTCCTATGGGAGAGGTTTAAACGTCCTATTTTGGAGCACACCAGTCGACCTACTTTTGAGCAAATTCATTCGATTTTGTTAAATTTTGGTATTTGAATGTCAATGGTTGATGTCAATATGACAGCAACGGTTGATGTCAATACAACGTCAATGTGTGATGTCAATACGATGTCAACGGTTGATGTCAGAAAATTTTGACCCCGAGTTGATGGTTAGTTGACGTCAACGGTTGATGTCCCACTGACGTCCCACTGATATTTTTTGCCCACTGTCAGCACTGAGGTTGGAATTGTCCAATACGTGCTTGCTTGCCGTTTCAGTTGTCGCCGTCACCTTCCCAGCCACCATCCTTCGTCTCGGTGCCTCCGATCTCGGCATGTAGTCTGCTGACCCAGGCAGCATGTGCAGTTAGCAATGAGACGGCCATCGACCTGTCAATGAAGTCGAGCCGCGAGCCGGAAACGCCTGCCATACACTCCACTGAGAAACTAAAGAAGCTGTATGCAGGTAGAGGGCAACACTAGATGTGGTTGGTGGGTGGGTGGGGGATGCGGGGAGGGGTCAGTAGATGTGGTCATTGGTTGTGCTGGTCATATTGATGGTTGATGTTGTTATGGAGGGTTGTGTTTGTTGGTATTGGAGGCGAGTGAGCTTTGTTTCAGAGTAAATCTCACCGGTTAGGGAGTTTGTATATGCCATTGCTGTGCAGCAGTCATGAATCTATATGCCAAAACAAGAATACCAGACATCCACATGCACTGTCGAAATATAATCACAGTAAAGACGTAACTGCGAGAGTTGGTTTATACTGAGATGCAATCTCCCTTTGTATGTTGTAGTTTCCTGCTTATGTTCACATAATCACCTGAATGCAGGAAGGAAAATACCCGTAATGGCCACTTAAATTACGTAATTTACTACAGAAAAAGTTGCTATTGAGAATGTTGCAAAAGATTTACATGAAGTCAAACCTGTATGTAACAGCCGCCTAAGGCAAACTCCCAAAGTGTCCTTCATTGACAGGTTTCCATTCTATACGAACTCCCACGAACTCGGGTTGGACTGTAATTCTGAATCCTAGTATCTCAATTGGGAGTTATTTCAAAATTCCCATGCTCGTCATTGGTTGGATCATAAACCTAACTGCAACTGTTTTGCACGTTTCACAGGTGCAAATGCGGTTTCGTTACTTAAGCCACCCGCTGTGATCGCAAAACCAAAGTACGACCCTCAGACTATGACCCCAGAGGAACATCAGGCTCGGCAGGAAGAGCTAAAGGTATGCATCATCTGCTGCCATCTAGTGACTGTAATAGAAACCTTTACAGGCAGTTTGGGGAGCTGGTACAACATGACGACAACTTACTCACATTTTTTTGTGGAAAATCCTTTATGAGTTTTCATCTTTTGAATAAAAACATAAACTGTGAACGAGTCTTTCTCGCTGTGGACTAGAAGTAGGTAGTGAATGTGGAGTCGTAGTGGTTAGTAACAATCACTATTCGATGGTATGAGTGAGTGCAGTAGGGCATAATGGTGAGGCGAGAGGCAGTGGGGGTCGCGGTGATAATAAGGATGTGTTATATGGCTGCGTGACACTTACATGGCTTCGGTGTTTCCGTGTTTTTATGAAGGAGCTGTTGGAAGCTCAACTGAAGCAGCAGCAGCAACAGCTAAAGCTCGCACGTAAGATGGCTGCACAGCGAGAGAAGGAGCTCAGCAGTCATCCTCATCCTCATCCGCAGCAGCAGCAGCAGCAGCAGCTCTCCCTTCTTAAACCCAGGGCTCGCGGTGGTCGCAGCACAAAGGTACCTACCTCCACCACAATTACTCTTACCTTGGCTTTCTTTTCACTGCTGTCTCACTCTTAAACACTGTATGAAAAGTCAATGTATATCAATAACTGTGAAAACCAGTAGCTGCTAGAAGTAATATCAGTATGTTTTATATCATGACTCAATAGATGTCATTTATCCATGCATGTTTCTAGAGGAACTGTAGGTAAAATGTGCACATGTTCTAAAAACAAGGCATACATTTCTGCTCAAATGATAAATTGGGACTAAAATCAACACATTGTGAGAAGCCTTATTCCATGTAGGGTTTGTAAGTGGTTTACCGTTACGTACGTGTCTGCATGAGCTTTTCTTCACGAGTCGTCTGCTCTCGTCTCGTTCTCACAGACGTCGCAGGACGGGGTCGGTAGAGGTCGCGGCCGGGGTCGAATCACGTCGTCGAGTCGCGCCATCGCGGCGGCGCGTAAGCAGCAGCAGATGGCAGCGCAGCGCATGCTGCAGCAGCAGCAACGCGTCTGGCAGCTCTCACAGACGAGCGAGGAGAGTGCAGACGACAGCATGTCACACGTCAGCGTGCTGAGGTAGGTGGCGCCACGAGGTAGCACGATGCGCTTACCTAGTGTAGTGGTAAAAACAGAGGTAGGTGGCGCCACGAGGCACCATAGTAGACTTACGTAGTGTAGGGATAACAATGCAGGTAGGTGGCGCCGCGATGCACCCTCTATAACGGCATATCTCTCTCTCCGTGCGCAGCAGCAGTGAGACGGCGGGCACGACGACAAAGCGCCACCACGAGGACAGCAGTGACTCGGCAGCGGCGGCCGCGACGAAGCGTAGAAGGGTGATACGCGACGAGCGAGAGCTGCGCACACCTCTCGAGCGCGGCTGGCGGCGGCAGACTAAGATCCGCGCGCTGAGCATGTGTGGAGTGCGTGGCGACGTGCTGTACTTTGCACCGTGTGGTAAGAAGATGCGGACGTACCCGGAGGTGCAGCGCTACCTGGAGAAGCACCGCATTGCCGACATCAGCCGCGACAACTTCAGCTTCAGCACCAAGATGAACATCGGAGAGTTCCTGGACCCCCAAGCCGACGGTCAGGTGAGCTCACGGCATCACGCGCGGTGCCGGTCACAATGGGAGGGGTGGGGAGGTGTTATGTTGGAGGAGGGATGGGGGGTAGGGAGTTGTAATGTTGGAGGTGGGAGGGGTAGGAAGGTGTTATGTTGGAGGTAGGAGGATGAAGAAGAGTTCCTTCCTGTATTAGGTAATGCTGTTATTGTGAGACTAAGATTGTCTCACTGTGTGTGCAGGGATTCTTGGTGTTGACTGAGGAGGAGATCAGAGCTCGCATTGACGAATTCCGTGCACGCAAGATGAAGAAGAAGACCATTGGCAATGGTGTTGGAGCACGCGGTGGTGGCCATCGCAAGATGAACTGGAAGGGTGGTGCTATTGGACAGAAACAAGGTGCCCGTGGCAGTGAGTGAAAGGGCCCCATGCTAGCGCTTCAGTTTCGGGCTTTCATTTTTGTTTTGATGTGTTGTTTTGTTATGTATCACGTGAGGGGCCTTTTTATTATGATGGCTTTTCCTATGTTCTCAATAATGGCATTGTATTACCTGAGTTCGGGATGGACACTCTTGCAAAATATCTAACATCGAGTTTGTTTCTTGGGCAGAAATGATGCGCAAGGCAGAGGCAATGAGGCAGAGCAAGCACATGGCACAGCAGCGCCTCCTGGAGGCAGCGCAGGAAGCAAAGCGCATGAGAGGTATTCCACTATGCTTATCCCTCACCATGCACAACTGCTTACTCTTAGCATCTCTAGCTATTGTTCTACGCTTTCTAATTTATAACACATTAACCTCATTCGAAAAAAACCAAGCTCATGGAATCAATCTAATGTGAATGCCATATTTACTAGGCACCCTTTGCAATGAAATGTTCGGTAACATTCCTCCTTTGCTGTCTGGTAAATGTCTCACTGTATGTGACACATCTCATGACATCCCTCCTTTGCTGTCTGGTAAATGTCTCACTAGAGGTGACACATCTCATAACATTCCTCCTTCGCTGTCTGGTAAATGTCTTTCTGGAGGTGACACATCTCATGACATCCCTCCTTCGCTGTCTGGTAAATGTCTCACTAGAGGTGACACGTCTCATGACATCCCTCCTTCGCTGTCTGGTAAATGTCTTCTTGGAGGTGACACCTCTCGTAATGCTGCTACTGCCTCACGCTTGTTTGCACAGAGGAGGAGAAGAAGAGGCAGAAGGAGCATGTGCGTCTGCAGCGGCAGCAGGAGAAATTCTACCGAGCCGAGCAGCTGCGTCTAGAGAAGGAATACCGAGCCCAGCAGTTGATCGAGGTGAGTGCATGAGTGACACGCGCCATTCCCTGCGCGTGAGAGCAAGCTGGGAGAGAAGGACAGGCTAGTATAGGATAGGGGCAGAATGGGCGAGGGATAGAATCTGAATATCTACAGGAGTTATTTGGATTATACATGTGATCAGGCATGTGTGTTGATAGCCAGTGTAATTGGTGAAGGCGGTCCAAGAGGAGAATGGGCAGGAGGAGGAAGAGGAGGAGAAGGAGAAGGTGGAGATGTAGAATGTTAAAAGCATGTTGCATAGGATTTTGAGTGCAGGATCTTGATATTGTCCATAAGGAGAGCAAGTGACAGGAAGACTAGGTAAGGCTAGGTGCATGGATTTGACATCACGTTAACAAAGCTCCGTCCGTCCAACCACTTGCCCTCCACCCAGATGTCTGCTCGAATCTCCTGTTAAACCCTCATATGCTTACCACTGTCTAAATGCTGTGAGGGTTGCATGGGTGACAACCTTTACATGGAAACATAATCTCGTTTCTCAGTCCAAACTAAGTCCTGGCAGCATGGTTGATTGCTGCTCCGTTTTGTTACCGTTGTTTGGCTGTATCTTGCGAGAGAGTGGTATATATGAGTGTGGGCATTTGAGTAGTCTATTACTAGTTCATCTACTCACAAGAATTGTGATAGAATGCATGTACTTCAAATTGTTTTAGATAGCTTGCTATTTTCAGCAGTCTATTTAACTATAACTGATTTGAATGTTGTACAGAGAATATGATATGGTGTTTTTGCTCATTTCACTGGCCTGGGAAGTATTTCAAATCTTTTGAATAGTTTTATAGCAGTAAACTTTATCAATTTATTGTTTCCCGTTTTATCAATGGGAGGGCGGCCCACTTATTTCCACTGTAAGCGAGCATTCACAATAATTGATTCAGTGCTAAATATTGTTCTTGCTGTACTAAATAACAGTACTAAATAACTGCAGTAATAGGATATTTCCTCGCCAGAAACTAACGTTAATCAGCTGAACAAGTGAACATTGTTTGAAACAGTGGAACTTGGTCAAATCGTTGGCAGAGCAGTGCCCCTCCTCCCTTCTAAGTATGCATGGGAGTTACATTGCATGAGCTTCTGGTTGTGCCAACCCTGATGTTTGCATGTGTAGGCAAGGAAACGCAGACAAGAGAACATCCAGCGGGAGAGACTGCAGGACGCCATGCGCAAAGCACAGGTCGGTACCAACCACTGTCCTCTCTTCCTCTCTGCTCTCACCCCTCAGGATCGTTCGCAGCACCATGGCTGCTGGTCTGAGGTCAAGCCAACTGACCAATGCATGTTAGTCGCGATGGTTTGCGCGATCTTGGTGTCCGTGATTCGCACACGTGGGATTTTATACGTGTTCACTGCATGTTGCCATGCACACTGTCTGTAAAACGCTGCTGCTGCTGGTTGCTACCCTGTTCCAACTGGGGCAGCTGCTGTGTGCACTTGCGTGCGTCTGTGCGCTTGCGTGCGTGTGTGCGTAGGTGTGTGTGCATGCGTGTGCACCTTTAATTTCACTCCAGTATGAAAGGCTGCATTACAGTACTGGTAGGGTCCGATGTAAACTAGCTATGAATACACGAGTAGTTACACTTGAACAAACATTCATTCAATTCATTTCATCACGCCGTCAAAACATTCAGGACTGAAAACATGCAGCTGGTAAAGTGCAGCGGTGGAGCCTGGTGAATGAAACGTCATTGTATAGCAGCAGTTGGTTGTGTACGTAGTGGATGAATTATGTGCCCTTTTCTCGAAGTAGTGATTGTGTGTGGTTAGTGAAATCTCCTTTAATACCAGTTGCGTGGTCCGATTGAAAGGTCCTCAGTTTAACCAGGACGACAAGCTGCCTAACTTAACGACTCGGAGTTTTATCAATTACGTTGTTGCCTTTACGCAATCGTTAATAGCTGTAGTAGCAGTAATCCAGCTGTATACCAATGAAGCATTATTAATAAAAATGAATGCGTTTAGGAGCAAGCCACGCTGAAATCTGTCTGTGAGGCAATAAAAATAATTCGTCGTTATAATGTGCATGAACAGAATTCGTGTTGTTGGTGTGCACACGGAGATTCCAGCATCTGTATTGGCACATGTTCTATCTGTTTAGCAACGCACCTCTTCGTGCCGAGATTCTGTGATCTGCTTCTAATTGTTCGCCAGATCTTCGTCCAGTGGATATATAATTACTGCTGAGCTAGGTCTGCTTGAGGCGGCATTTGTATGGTGTTCGAATGTTGGCATCTAGTCATGACAGTGTTCCATCGTGTTGGATGGTGTCATGGGAAATATCACGATGTCACGATGAGAATAATTAATCATTTCGATATATGCTAATCACTATACGAGCAAAGTGTGTTAAATAACACAGCCTCTCATGTCAGGACGTATGTCAACTGATGTGTCAACTGGGGTTTCTCCCTCTGTGTTGTATCTGCAGGAGCGAGAGATGAAGAGGCAGCAAGCCGTACTTCTAAAGCATCAGGTGAGTGCATTGTCAGTAAACATTTCTAAGAAGATTTTCATCATAGCCTTTCATTAACATTTAGAGATAATTTATCCACCCTCATCCTCGGCAATTAGCTTTAGAAAGTAGTGATCATGAGCTTTATATGACTAATTATAGCTTTATTATTCACCGATGCTTTTTGTTACATAAGCTATATATATATATATATATATATATATATATATATATATATATATTATATATTATATATATATTTATAGTACCACTGTCATGTGAGTCTGTGTGTGTGTGTTGGTGGGCAGGGTTAGTGGGGGATTTCCTTGTGCTATGAGCACTCGGTAATGCAGCACAGCAGTGTTAAGCTGTGTGCATCGTGCTGCTTTCATTGCTGCTAGGAGCGAGAACGGAGACGACATATGCTCATCATGTTCAGTCTGGTATGTTAGTCCATGATGATGGCCTGCTCTACACGATACCCTGCCTACATTCTCCTCCCAGTCTCCTTGTAACCTGTCTTGCCTTTTCCAGCTAAAGTGCAGCAAAATGTTTGCTTTTCTATACAGGACTCTTCCCCTGTTTTTAGCTCACCTTGACATCGTCAAGCTGAGCTATTGCCATGGGTCGTCGTCCGTCGTACGTCCGTCCGTCCGTCAACATTTGGCTATGGTCAACGATAACTCAGGAATCGTTTGACCCACATGTTTGAAATTGGGTATAGTTGTTACTGCTATGCTCCCATATTAAACGTTCTATTTTGGAGCACGCCAGTCGACGTACTTTCGAGCCACGGCAATTTTTTGGCAAAAATGGGAATTGCCATCAGTCAGTTCAGGTTCAACGGATTTTGCTCATTTTTGGTATGTGAATGAATAAGGCCTATTATTATAAAATTATGCAAATTAGGTAGGGTGTGGCAATTATAGCATATCATATAGACACGCAGATAACAAACAGTCTGTGGTGTCACACTCGTCTGGTTCGTTTTACAAGATTTCATTGACAATATCTTTAATGCAAAATTCCTGCTATGAACATATTATGATTTATACTATTATTATTATATTATTATTATTTGATATAATGATTTATGCTAAGAAACATCAAAGCGGGCATAGCGCCATCTACCGTCACAAATTGTGATTCATTTTGGTTTATAAATTATTTATAATTTATATATAATATTATTTATTATTTTCACATGAAAAATTACACATAATTATCAAGAGTATATAATGAGGGTTCTCCCATATATACTCTTCATTTCTATAATGTACGTCGATGGTTACTCTGATAAAACTGACTTCTTCTCACTCACTCACTCATTTGTGTCATTTTTTGTGGTGAGCTACAGTGTCATTGACACTTTCATTTCCTTTCCTAGGAAGTGTATTTAGTGAGTTCATTGTTTCCTCGTTTTCTGACCAAAAAACAATGCATTCTATCACGACACACATGTTGTTCTTTAATTGGTAGATGTTTATATCATCTTGTGGTGGAATAAAGCTGGCAAAAACCCATTCCCTGCATGTGCCTTTGATCTAAATCTGTATCATGGTAAAGCTCATTCTCTACTATCCTTATTTCCATGTATCCCACAGAATTGCCGCCTGGTGGGTAATCTGTGCTAGGTTATATCATCTACGGTTTATCTCCTACTTCGTAAATATGAGTCCAATGAACTTTATTAAAGACGGAGAGAGTTATAGTTGATCATATAACCAGATCAACACTGTCGAATCACAGTAGAAAAAGCTTGAATTTTGCGATTACCCAATGAGGAAGAAAGAGTTTATCAAAATGGAATGACAAAAACGAAGAAGCTAAACTCGAGTGCATCATTTGAAGGTGGTACAGGTCAAAAGCAATGATCTTGGAAGATCGAGTGGTATGAATAGGCTTCATTAAGCAATAGGGAATGCCAATCTTCACCTGACCATGAGAAATTTGTATGAAACGTTATATGTTTTGCATGAAGAAAGCAGACACGAAGAGGAGACCAATCAAGTCAAGCCAAAACAACATTGGAACTATCATGATAGTTTTTGGATACCCATGGTTAGCATGGTTTTGATAACATTATTTTTGATTTTAGGAACGGGAGAGAAGAAGGCAGCACATGATGTTAGTACGAGCGCTGGAAGCAAGAAAAAAGCAAGAGGTATGACTATTTATTTTGGCAAAAAAATTTGCTTTGCTTGGTATGAGGATGTTATGTAAATTGGAATGCATGTGTGAGAACATGACATATTAACTTGATATTCTTCTCGCAAGTAAACTGTGTGGTGATATACGATAGGCCTGCATGTTGTTACCCGTCTAGCTTTATATCTGTGTGCTTGTTTAGGAAAAAGAGAGGCTGAAGGAAGAAAGACGTGTGGAGAAGAGGCACGTAAGAGAGCAGAAAATCGTAAGTGAATGCACTTTATTGTGAATCTTAGAATTTAAGCATTTTTTTCTAGATAGGTCCATATTTCCTTATCTGAAATCCTCAAGCCTAAAACAGACAGTGAAGACTTCTTTGGAATGGATGATCAGTATGATAAATAGTGTTATATATGTAACCAGAAGTAAGATATCGATATTATTATAATAATCTATGAACAGCTAATGTTATGAACGAAACATGCAGTTTGTAAATGATTCTATTTATTTCTTTGGTGATATTCCCTGTGATGCTGTGCAGTACATAAACTATGTTGGATGTGTGTTCTACAAAATAGATTACATGTTCTATGTAGTTATACCCTTTTTCTCTCTAGTCCATCAATGTCATGATAAGGGCTTTTTAAAAACACTGCTTCGTAAGGAAGTGCCACAAAGTTGGCAATTTGCCATACACGCATGAAAAACGCATGTAAACTGACTATGTCTAGCTTGACGACTTAGCAACAGTATTGCAATGGTGTGGTTATCCTGCACAGACAGAAAGGTCAATTATCGTCCGTGCTACGATCCATTTTTGATGGGATTCTGTATTTTATCGGCGAGCAGGAGCAGCGGAGGCTGGAGATAATGCGAGCGAGAGAGATGAAGAAGCCAGTCGAAGACATGCAGTTGAAGGAACCCAAGGTGCTGCCCAACCTCGACCGCATCCCAGGCGTGAAGCTGGCAGGCGAAGCCTTCGCTAACTGCCTCATGGTCATCGAATTCCTACACAACTTTGGAGACACGCTTGAACTCGGTGAGTTCTCAGAAGGGAAGGCGTCATCGTGGCTATGTAGCGTTATCCATGTGTGGTGTGCGGCTAGTACACGCACACGGTTAGGTACGGAATGTGACGTGAAGTGTTCGCTAGGATCCATGGTGGTGAGAAGTAGAGTAACGAGTAGTCGGTGGATGATATAGGTTATTAATGGCTCTCTCTTTTTCTCCCTCTCTCTATGTGTGTGCATGTGCGTACGTGCGTGCATGTGTGTGTGTGCGTGTGTGCGTGCGTGTATAATATTAGCTAGATATGTGTGAGAGATTCACTTCCTTGTGTTGGATACGTGGTTGTTATTACGTTTATACGTGGCTGTACAGTGTGGTTGTGCGTCGGCTTTGCTTGCAGATGATGAGAAGCTTCCATCTCTGAACACGCTACAGCTGGGTCTCATCAATGATGAAGAACACATCAGTGAACTGCTCGACACTGTCTGCATGCTGCTGCGCATTGCCCTGCGTGATCCAGGCATCCCATTGCTGCCTGAGGTAAGCTAGCACCCACTGCTGCCTGAGGTAAGCTAGCACCCACTGCTAACCTCATAACCTCATAAGTGTTAATCTTCAAAAGACCTGGGGACTATAACGAAGATGGAGAGAGAAGTGGATCAAGTCGGTAGATCCACACTGCGGATCGCAGCGGAAAATATTGTAAATTTGCCATTTACTAAGGATGAAGGCAGTGAGTTCCAATACGGAACCACAGAGACAAAGAAGCTCCTTAGAAGTTTGTAAATGCCGAAAACAGGGATCACGCCCAGATGAGCGGGTGCAGCGAACAGGCTTCATTAAGCAAGAGGGAATGCAAATTTTCATCTCACCATGATATATTTTATAGAAAGTTATGAGTTTTGAATGAAGAAAGTGGACACGAAGAGGAGGCCATTCAAGACGAGCCAAAACAACATCAGCACTATCATCATAATTTCTGGAAACCCATCTCGCAGCTTTATGCTGAATGGTGTCCAATTTAGAGCAGTTCTGAAGTCTATAGGGGCACCAGCCTGGCGAAGCATATTCTAATATGGGCAGAACCATAGTTTTAAAAGCTAGGAACCGAGTTTTAGAGTCAACAAAGCTAAGATTACGCTGTAACATGCCGAAAGATCGGGACGCTTTCTTACAAATATAGTCAACGTGGGCATTCCAGTGAAGATCGTTACTAATAATAACACCCAAATATTTGTAAGTAGGGGTAAGAGATAGATATTTATGATACAGCAAGTAAGTAAAAGTCAAGGGTGATTTGGAGCGAGTAATGCGAAGAATTTTACATTTTTCTGCATTGAATGACATACCCCATGATGTTGCCCACTTCTCAGTACGAGTAAGGACACTCTGGAGGGCTAACTGATCGCTCTTATTGTAGATGGTGCGGTACAGAACAGAGTCGTCAGCAAAGAGACGAATAGAAGTAGAAGGGTCAGTTTCGGCCAACAAATCATTTATAAAGCATAAGAACAGCAATGGACCAAGCACAGAACCTTGGGGTATACCCGATGTGACAGCGGCCACATCTGACATGCTGCCGTTAACACAGACAATTTGAGATCTATCCTTCAAAAAGTCAGAGATCCAATTTAACGTAGTAGTATCCAAACCCAAGTGACCAAGTTTGAAAATTAAAAGGTCATGAGGAACCCTATCAAAGGCCTTACTAAAATCTAGGAATACTGCATCAACCTGCTGAGATTTGTCAAGACTTAATGTCCAATCATGAAAAACGTTGATTAACTGGGTAACGGTAGAAAAGCCATGCCGAAACCCATGTTGATGATGGGACAGGATATATCATGCCTATCGAAATGGTTCATAATAGAGGAGTAGACTATATGGGAACATTTAAAGTTGGAGTAGGTGTTACACAAGAAGTAGAGAAAACCGACTTGAATTGATTACTTAGCAAACAAGCTTTCGATGCAGGGGACTCACAGGAAATACCATAACCACGGAGAAGAGATGGGATTCCAGTTTCCCGTTTTTTACACTTCATAAACCTCCAAAAAGGTTTTGCATCTCCATCTGCAAGTTTATAACAAACAATATCATTTAGAAAACTTCGATGGAGTTTACGATTTAATTGCGAGACAAAATTTCTTAGATTGCGATATCTAGACCAGCTAACGGGCGTTTTTGAATGCCTGGCCCTTTGAAACAAGCGATCCCTCTTCCTCATAGATTTCTTTAAGGAGGAGGACAACCAAGGGACTGAAGCCTCATTACGAATAACGTTACAAGGGACATAGGAGTTTACACCCGAGGTGATAGCCTGTTTAATTAGCAACCAATTAGATTCAAGGGATCTCTTTGTCGGATCACTGGAAAAGTATGAGGCATTAAACTCAGTAAAGTGATTCGAAAGTGCCTCTTTATCAGCCTTATCAATGAGAAGAATCTCACGAGTTCCTAAGTTAGCTGCTTTGACTGGAGAAAGATCTAAATTAAAGATGACACAACCATTGTCACTAATACCAGGGACCACAGATATAGATGAAACCAAATTGGGGAAATTAGTAAATACTAAATCAAGAATGTTGCTACAAGTTTCAGTACATCGAGTAGGCTGAGTGATAAAGTTGAGTCAGGGAATGACTAGTACACAAATCGAGCAGTTGACTACATAAATGAGTATCTCGTTGGCCAGTCACTGAATAGGACTGCCAATCAATTCCAGGCAAATTAAAGTCACCACAAATGAGTGTAGGTGGATAAGACTCATTATGACGAGAGAAGAAGACGTTCACAGAATTAGCGATTCCAGTGAGTTGATCAAATCCAATTCTTAATATTTAGCTTCACCCAAGTGAGTTCTGCTCCTGCTTCATCAAAAGAGGTAACTAAAGAGCTAGAAATGGACTTCTTAACAGCAATAAAAACGCCACCCCCATGACGGTTACGATCTTTCCTATAAACATTGAAGTTATCGGAAAACACCTCACTGGATGGGATATAGGGGTCCAGTTTAGATTCAGTGCCAAGAACAATATCTCAATAGGTCGTTAATTAGGTTGAGAAATGCTGGATTAGCATTACCTTTGATGCTATTGAAGTTACTCAAAAGGAATTTCAATTTATTCCTAGGACGAGAGTTCTTAGCAGTGCGTTGAGGAGGAAGTTGAGCACTGACGTCTTGGAAAGAAGTAGAGGCCTGAAGGGGGGAAAACGAATTTGGGTGGGACAAATCATCAATGTCAAAAAAACTATCAGAAAGGTTGGGAAGACCACACTGGGAATAAATCAAAACTAGATTTGGGGAATTAACATGTTCTAAGAATTTCACCTCTTCCAATCCAGAGCAACGGAAATAAAACCATGTAGGGCATACATCACAACAAATTGCTTTCTGATTGGAGCGACAGGGCTTCCAACATAATAATATTATGTGATATTCGTGTACGTACATCTATAGAAGAGCTCTTCTTCCATTTTCAGGCACGTACCATATTTGGGTCGTCGATTCTCGACGTGACCTTGGACCAGGACAATGTTTCGGAGCTTCTCAGACTCTACTTATGGTGCAAAAACAGCAAGACAGACGGGGTAGGTATTGTTTGCTCTTTCATGCCAAAAAGGCTGTTAGAGTGGCATCTAAGATGCAATGTATCTCGTGGTAACGTTATTACTCATGTATTTTTTGTCATGGTCACAAATGAGGTTATGTAGTATTGAATAGAGAAAGTTGAAACCTCAAATGATTTTTTTAAGTTTCTCTCTCATCTTTCTCATCTGAAAAGCATACGTGCATTCTCTCTTCTTGCTCGCAGTTTGTGAGTCTGTTAAAGGACCAACCTTTCACCGCCTGCTGCCCAACAGACAAGTCCGAAATACTCGCACTACTCTGCAATGATCTTCTCATGAACAAGAATGTTCTCAGGTATGTTGTAGACACGGAGAACTGCAGTGCTGCGACCTTTCACGTTCCCCTTTCTCACTCGTCATGGTCTGAACGTGGATTTGTTACAATAAGCAGTGGCAAGACACTAGCACCTGCTATAAGAGTAACTCGGCTTCGTGATAAATTCACGTCATTAATCTGTTCGTAGTTTCGACACAAGTATTCCCGTTGTCTTTGTCAAGCTGTATGAAATTGCTCGAGCCTGGCACCAGATGGCTGCAGATAGCCGATGGCTAACAGGTTAATTACACTGATTTATCATGAATAACATTTTATTGTCGTGAAATCAATTCAAATTATTTCAAGACTAGCATCAACTTAGCCTATTCTGCACTCGTGTAATTCCGCAGTCAAATTGATGAGAATCTGGAACAGATGAACACACTCAAGCGTGACAAGTGGGTGCAGGAGGGTGAGATAAGGAAGATGAAGGGTCTACAGGCGCGCACTCAAGCCCTCGCCAGCATGGACTGGAAGCCGCAGTGTCTCGATCAGCAGGCAGCAACAGCAAGCTCATCCTCGCAGCCTAACACGCCCCGCAAGGAAGCTGCCGCCGTAAAGCCAGACCACGATGAAGAGCCTGCTGATAGCAAACCCAAGGATGCTGCGACAGCAGACAGTGAGGAGACACGTGATGAGGACGGTAACCATGACGACGATGGTCACCTTGGTGACAAGGAAGAGGAGGAGGAGGATGATGATAAGGACGACGATAGTGGAAATGAAAGTGATGCTTCTGATGGATGCATTGCAGCAGATGACCCTGAAGAAGATGTAAGCTTAGTTCATTATTATTATTATTGTTATTGTGTTTGTTACTATTTTATTGTTTTTGCTGCTGCTGCCTCCTCTATCATTGTTGCCATCGTCATAGCTGTTGCATTCCTCTATGTGCCTCATTATATATTACAGCATCACTGCTATTGAGAATAAGAGTGTAATGTTGTCATTGCTGTGTTCGCAGAATGACAATGACAAGGATGATGAGGATGAGACGAACGATGCAAGCACGAAGTGTGCACAGGTTGTGAGTGAGAAGGAGCAGCAGGGTGATGATGATAGCTCAAGGCAGGCTGCTGAGGCCTCGGCGGGCAATGAGGAGGAGAAAAGCAAGCCAGAGGAAGCCTATGCTGAACCAGTGCTCGAGGCCGCCGACCCAGTTAAAATGCAAAAGAAGGTTGACAGACTATGCAAAGTGAGTCGAGGCTACTTCTATACTGGCGCATGTTTAGCGATAGCATGCGAACCTACATCGATAAGTAAAGTATATATAGATAACATTTATGATATAATTATTTTATCCTATTAAATAATAATAGTAGCTCTTACTAAAGATTTTCCTATGAATTCTAAATACTTGTTGAATGTAGCTGTCTTATCTGCTTGCTCAGCAATTATGGACCTATCTAGCTGGTGGGACTTACAGGGAGCTCTAGCCAATAGCTGTGGCTATAGGTCATTCTAAAAACTCATCAATGAAGAGGTTGGGAACACATGCATGAAGAACAGACAACGTATAAACTAATCAAGCTTGACCAACCTAACAACTATTTCCATGCAGAGCAAGGTTATGTCAGTCGGACTGATAGGTCAATTACTCGGGAGTGTAACAAAATTCTCTCGAAAAGTTCACGAAAATATCTCCATAAGTTTACCCGAGATAGATACTCAAGCACGAGTTAAATTCGATTGAAATTCATTTTGAATTTGATTCGCTCGCAGCAACACAGACAGATGAAGAACAAGCTGACTGCGGTGTGTCACTCGCTGCGTGCGACGTCGTTCGGGCAGGACCGCTACCGCCGCCGCTACTGGGTGCTTCCCTGCGCTGGCGGAGTCTTCGTCGAGGGGCTGGAGTCTGGTGATAGTCGGGAGGAGCCTCAGGTGGCGACGGGGAAGGAGGAGGGCGGCAGCGGCAAGCAGGAGGATGAGGAGGAGGAGGAGGCAAGCGTTGCTGTGAAGACGGAGGAGGACGACGACGAGGCAAGCAATCTCTTCCTGCAGAATCCGTGCGAGTGCGGCCGCTTCAGTGACTTCATGCCAGATGGCGCCGCCGCGCGGGACACCGAGGCGGGCAGTCTTTCAGCCGGCGGCGCAGGGCCGGCGTCCCCTGGTGGCAGCTACGTGGGCGTGCCGGTGTCGTTCCGCACCGCACAGCCGCTGAGTGCCGAGCAGCTACTCAGGAACCTGTCTGAACAGTCTTTCCAGCATCCGTGGTTCAGTGTGCTGCCTCGCTTCCCCTGTGACGAGCGCTCGATCACGCGGCCGCAGCCCTCGCCCGCGCGCCTCCCCGTGCCAAAGTACCGCGGCGGCGGGAGCTGCCGCACGCTGCGCATGCCCGCAGGCTGCGTCTACAACGGCGCGCTGCCGCCGCGGCCGCCATCGTGCACAGAGGGCGCCACAGGCACTGCCACCGCTCCTGCGAGCCCAGCGCATCAGATGCAAGTGCATAGCACGCGAGATCATGCCAATCCGAAGCCTATTCCTATAGGTAAGCTCCGTATAGGCCCGTCAGTCAGCCAACGTATTGTTACCGGGTGGCTTGCGTGCGTTTCCGTCGGCTTGACCCTGCCTATCATGCAGTAGTGTTAAACTGCCTATCAAACTGCATACAGTCAAACCTGTATCAGCAGCCACCTCTCTAGAATGACCACATATACAGGGATGAGATTCTTCCGCGGATCCGCAGAAATCCGCGGATTTGACAGTCCCAGGGGTCGATTTTGTGAAACGTCTAAATTCGTTGAGAAAATTGGGGGGGGGGGTTAACAATGTAAAAATTTAAATTATATACAGCACCTGACTGTAGAGTGTAGACAGTAGGCTGACAGCGAAGTATACAGTGTATCTGTTTTTGTGTACCAGAAAAGAAAATCCTCGTTCACAGGCTTGCAGTAGAGGGGCAGACATTTGAGGTAGCTGATCACGTAACGACCATGCCTGGCCTGGGGGCCGGGTTTACATGTTGCTGCGTGGATGTTGTGTGCATGACTATGCACTGATTGTTCCATTCGCATTGTTTTTTTTTATTCAAATCTCGTCGCAGCAAGGCAGCTTATGTCTGAGTAAAACAATGCAAGCGACGGGTGGAAACAGAAAAATATCATTATGTCTAGTCTAGACATTTAATAAAAAAACTTGCCCTATTTTCAGCCCCCTGATTTCCTATTCATAGTTCGTTTGTTCCTTTTGACAACTTGAAAAGGTGATTCAAGAGTCTCCTATAATGTGTTCAGAATAGCTTAGAATGCACTAAATTGCACCATTCTTTTTAAAAAATTACGGGGTAGCATGACCCCGGACCCCCCTAGCATGGCGATGACCTATGATCCTCGCATTGCTCGCTCCTCTGTTTGCTAATTTCAATTTCAGCTGAAAATTAAATTCTCCAATCTCATCCCTGCATATAGATGTAGATGTAGATGTAGGTTTAGATGGTGATATAGCCAGAGGATCATCCTGGTAAGAACTAGCTGTAATTGTGTTAGTGAGTGGTAGTGGATGCCGGTAGCTTATCGTGACTAAGCGTGTGTGGCACTGAGTCACGTGTTGTGTTATGTTTGGCAGAGATGCAGCGTGGCTGGTGGCGCATCACCGACCCCAACCAGCTGAAGAGTCTCGTCAAGTCGCTGCATGTGCGCGGAGTGAGAGAGCGCCACCTGCTGAAGCAGCTGCAGAAGCACATCGACTACACCTGCCAGTCCTGCAGCAAGGGCCGCAAGGATGGTAAACACAACGCAATGCTACTGTTAACAACGCAACTGCGTCGCGTTAGTTCTCACTACACTTCCCTATCATCCCATTAAAATGAAGTTCAATTATATTTCTCTGATCCTCGAGTGTTGACGTGTTTCAGGTTTGAACTGCACCCGTTTAAATATTTGTAATTCAATCAACTTTTCATCTTTTTTTCTTAAAAGTGCTCATCAACCTTATGTTCTACCCATTACTAGTCTCCACTTGCGTGCTCTTCCCATTGTTGCCTCCCCCGTGCTCTTCCCGTCAATAATCACCACCACCCCGTGCTCTTCCCGTTAATGGCCACCACCCCTGTGCTCTTCCCATTGTTGCACATCACCCAATGCTCTTCCCATTATTGCGCACCACCACCTGTGCTCGTCCCGTTAATGTTCAGCACCCCGCTGCCCATCTCCACAGTCACTGACCTGGAGATCACTGAGCGTGACCGTGAGATCTCCCAGAGTGTGACGCGGGCGCCGGACGTGGATGCTCGCGGCAGCTGTGACGCGGCGCGCTCGCACGACATCGAGATGGAGATCCTCACGCAGGTGGAGAGACTCGAGGAGCGACTCATTAAGGCCAGCATGCAGATCAAGGTAGCCGTGCGTCGCACCGACCGCGTGTCGCATGCGCAGTGAAATATAGGTCTGTAAGGATCACTCGAGCAGAAACGCCGAAAGTGATTTTTATAGACCAGTGTTATGAGACCGTTCTATGGAGCCGGTGTGTAACTTCCATTCATCTTGGGGCAGTCTCGTCAGGTGTGCATAATTTTGCTTGGATATCATCATGATTGAATCTATGGGCAGATTCTATCGATGTAATTACTGTTATGACATGTGGTTTGATATATTTAGTTTAGCCTCTATGTCTTCCTCAGATATTGCTGCTAAATCAATCAAGCTAGACCAGTTTGTCCATGTATTTTAAGCTTGCCCATTAAACTGTTGACTTTGCGGAACTTCATTGCTAAGCTTTGTTTAAAAACATCCTATCACAACATTCATTGGATAGAACTGCCTGTCAGTCATGTGAGGCACATAGATAAGTTACTGTGTCTTAGCTGTGTGATGTGTGAGTGTGTGCAGTTAGTATGTGCTGTGTGAGTGTATGCAGTTAGTATGTGATGTGTGAGTGTATGCAGTTAGTATGTGATGTGTGAGTGTATGCAGTTAGTATGTGATGTGTGAGTGTATGCAGTCAGTGCCGGGGTTGTGCTCACACTGCTCTCATCTTCACGTTCTTTCTCCATGACTAACTCTTGCCTTGCCATGCACACAGGGCTTCAAACTGCTGCCGAAGGCAACGGATGACCCCACCTTGCAATTGGTACCAAGGAAGCTAGGAGAGGAAGCCGAGAGTGTCACGGTGCAGTGCAAGGAGGAGGTGAAGGAAGAATCCACCACGGAGGTGGACTCTCCTATGGAGACAGACTCAGTGAAGGAGGAGGAGGATGCTGAGAAGACAGAGTCAAAACAGGAGGAGCCAAGCTCGGCGAGAACAACAGAGGATGAAGAGGAAGAGGAGGGGAATGATGATGATGAGGAGGGTGGTGAAGACACTGAGGAGGAGTCAGGCATGGAGGAGGAGGTCGGGGAGGAGAACAAGAGGAACGTTCATGCGTTTCAGGTTGCCGTGCAGCGGCTGCAGATGTTTGAGGCGGCGATAGAGCGACGGTATCTCCTGCCTCCCCTCGGCAGCAGGTTTGTGACACACTTTCATTGGTGTGCTGCCAGACACATAATAAATATTTGACCATTACAAGTCTAGTGTCATAGCTTTATCATGACTTCCGTTCGATGAAAGGCTTTTGCCATTTTAGACGTAGGATGTGGTAACTATTTATCATGTGTCTGAGAATGGACCCCATGGACCCCCATGGAGCCCTAGTACTTGCTAGAGTTTTTATAAAAATGAAAGGAAACAATAAAAAATATCAAAACGAGTGCAAATCATCTTGTAGTCAGCCGCGCAACCCTTTTCTGTTAAGAGAATTTATTTTCTGGCAAATGTGACTGTTGTGCCTTTCCCCTTCTAACTTTCTCTCACTGGCACACGTGCAGTGGCGAGGGTATAACAGGCATGGAAGCAGTCCAGAGCGTAAGCCTGTGTGTGTGTGTGTGGGCTTGAAGCAGCTTTGTTAGAGTGAGCGTGATTACTGCTTGCAGGTGCGTCGATACAGGCAACAAGACACCACCGCTAGCATCGCAGAGTGTGGAGGAGGTGGAGGTGTCGCCAGGGCTGGCTGTGTGGAGGCAGGCACTGGCCGTTACTACTAACCCTGCCCAGCTCTACATGTGCCTGAAGTTACTCGATCAGTGCATAGCCTGGGACAAGTCCATCATGAAAGTGGTACGTATATATGACCTGAAGGGCCCACTAGCACACACGCACATGCAGTCAGACATGTACACTTGCACGCACGCACATCTTTGTTGTAATCTCTCGGAAGCATACTGGGAAATGGGCATCTCTCCATGCAGATATTTTATGAGCTAGGCCTCGCACTGTGTGGCCTCCACACACTGATCCACACCGTCTGCTCTCAGTTCTGTCAGATCTGTCGCCGTGGTGACAATGAAGCTGAGCTACTGCTGTGTGACAGCTGTGACAAGGGTTTCCACACGTACTGCTTTCGACCAAAAATGGTTGACATTCCCGACGGAGATTGGTTCTGCTACGAGTGCGTGTCTAAGGTATGCCCATCCAATTAAAAATCTGCTCAATTGCATTTCTTAGGCCTATATTTTGTATATATATATATTAAGAAGGTAATTTATTCATAATATGTGTCACGACAGGATGTTAGGCTTGCAGCGTATCTGTCCGTATATTTACAGAGGACTGGTGTACCGATGTGTCTGGTGTGTGGCAAAGCATTTGGTAAGATGGCGCGCTGTCAAGGATGTCCTCGTGCCTACCACCTCGACTGTCTCTCACCAGCCATGGACAGGTAGGCTCAGAACTATGCCTAGTGCAGCCAACATATTATCATGCAACTTAGTGTTATAGCCCCGTTCACACGCCAAGAGCTTAACCCAGTTAAGTCTTGCCCAGGTGTATACCCACATAACGCTTTGCCAGGTGAATGCAAGCTGGTTAGTTGCTACTAGATAATTTTTCATGTGAACGCAACCGAGTTAAATGCTAACTGGCAAATACCTCATTATGATACATGGGTGAAATACTACCAGACAGTTTTTTCTCTGTAAGAACGTGGCTTGTGCGATTGAAGTGTCTCCGCAGGTCATTCTAAGCTTGCTGCTCGGGTGTTGGCGCTCGCCTCGTTTGCTGCAGGTTATTGTTGATCGAGTTGTTTAGTGATTGTTGCGAAATTACGATATTTATTATAATTGTTTTCAGGATGCCGAGAGGACGGTGGAACTGTCCTGACTGCACGGAGAAGGTAGGCCTAAGCTGTCATGTCTCTCTGTTTGTCTGTGCAGAACGCTGGGCAGAATTCAATTTTGTGTCTATTGATGTCATATTATATATCGTTTTATAGCATTCGAGACACAGATAGAGAGAAAGAGAGGGAGAGTGGGAAAGACAGAGAGAGAGAGAGAGTAGGTGAGCGAGAGAAAGTGAGTAAGAGTGTGTGTTAGCCTTACTGGCTAATGCTTGCTGTCATTTCACTAAACTGCTTCCCATCCTCAACAGAAGCTAGCACGGAAGGGCAGGAAAAACAAGGAGATGCGTGATCGGGAGAAAGACATGGTTGATGACACGCTCGATGACACGACATCCACTATCTCTGAGTGCTCATTCTCCGCACCGCCATCAGAGGGCACCAGCAGTGTCAAGTCAGCACGCATATCGAATGGATCACACGACTTCACTTTCTGCAAGTAAGCACTCGTTAGTTCATACCTGTGTGCAGTGAAATAAATACATCTGTAAATGGGTAATGTGCGTAATGGGATAATGTGTATGTAGCAGGCTAAGCAGTGGGCCACGCAGGAATAATGTGTGTTCTTCGTCATTGCTCTTCCTCATTGTGTCGACACCCAAAACTGTGGTGTGAGTACATGCGTGCGCAAGCACCGACACAAGTGGTGCCATCTGTCCTCACGTGGATGTGCTTGTGTTTGCAGGGCATTGCTCGTGGACATGGAGAAACACGAATGTGCGTGGCCGTTCACGGCAGCGGTCGACACGCGTCAATTCCCGCAGTACAAGAAGGTCATCAGGCAGCCCATGGATTTCCAGATGATGCGCAATAAGCTGCAGAACAATGTGTAAGTACCTGGGGCCCGTTGTCAGAAACATCGTAAAGTTAATGCTAATGTTAATGCTACGATAACACTTACGACTAATGTTAATGCTACGAGAGTAGCGTTGACAGAAACACATCGTAGCTACGAGCAAACTCACGATAACAGGAACTTCATAATTTCATGTCACAAGGCTGCTGATTGGATGAGAATCGATCACAAAATTCAAATTCATACACATTTATTGTACATCACAGTAATTTATGCATATTATGATGGCTAACCACATATAAATAATATTTGATGAAAAATGACAAATAACACAAGACAAATTCTCACTCTGTAACATGAGACGCGAGAGTCGTGCCAAGAATGGCAAACGTTTTAAACAAGAGAACAAATGCCATACGCCATTTGTAAATTTATTGTTTTGTTTTATTAATGGTAGATAATTAATGATTTTGACGTGTTTTCCAAGAAAAACACACGTTTTATTCATTATTATAAAATATAATATCACTATAATTGTAATTCGTAGTGTAAGTGTGTTATTTTCAACTTAATATTAAAGTTACGAGAAGGTCTGGGCTCTCCTAATGTTAAGAGGATATTTGCGAGGATTTTTCGTTCTCGTAACATTACGATGTTTCTGTCAACAGTTAACGAGTGGAAGTTAATGTTAAGACTAATGTTAAGACTAATTTTGTTTCTGACAACGGGCCCCTGGCGCTGGTGATCATCACTACGTAGATCCGAGTCCTTCTCATCGTGATAAACTATGATACACTGAGGCTGTAGGTTCAAAAAGAGGAATAGACTATAGAGACAGTAGATTCGTATGCTAGGTGCACTAACAGTGAATCAAATGTAAACAGAATAATTGGTTGAAAGGTTGATTAACGTCTTGTCTGCTTCCACACATTTACCTGACATTGCTTGATCTCCCTTACATTTACCTGACATTGCTTGATCTCCCTGCTTCTATACATTTACCTGACATTGCTTGATCTCCCTGCTTCTATACATGTAGCTGACTTTCCTTGCTCTCTCCGCTTGCAGCTACAAGGCGGTAGAGGAATTTGCAGAGGACGCCAAGCTCATCTTTCGCAACTGTGAGGTCTTCAACGAGGATGACAGTGAAGTGGGGCAGGCCGGACACCGGATGCGCAATTACTTTGATATGCGCTGGGGGGCACTGGTGGATGACAGCTAAGCGGCTGCACAAACACTGCCGCCACGTGGCGACGGCAATCAAAGCTGCACTGTGATTGATCAGTGTGCTCCCCCTACTGAGGAAACGAGGACCAATGAAGACGCGTTTCTGCTTGTTAGCCGCAGAGCTGCACTGTGATTGGTTAATAACTGTGTCGGTGTAGCAGCCTAATCTGAAGTGGATGTTGAAAGGTTCTGCTGTGAGCGTTTCTTGTTCGAATATAAAGTATAAACGATGGTTGTTGCAAAAGAAAGAGGCGGAGAAGTGGCGACGAGACATTTGTTTGTCCACTCTATCACTGATGCAGTCCTTGTACATAATATTCTGCCAAAACCTTGTGATATATTGAATTATTGATATAGCCAGCTGGTGTGAGCCAAAACTGTCTGCCCTAAAGCTCTTTTGTATGTACAGTCTTTCCATGTTCTGGTGTGTATTGGCAGTTCTTATATGCCGAGTTATGGTGTTAAATACACACTGATGTTATAGTCATGTAGTTCAAAGTACACCCTTCTGATACTGCCACCTTAATGTTGCCCCCCCCCCATTTATCGTAATCACATCATGATTACAATGTGGCCCAATATAGGTGGCACTGCAATGTTAATTTGTGCAAATGGTTGTGCTTTCATTGTATGTTGTCAGTCACACAGGGCACGTAGTTGCAGAGTTGTTGTGCTGTGGTTCTATTGACGACCAACATGTATTATAGGCAGACGTTTCGTTTCAAGCAGTGAACATTTGTTACCACACCCCACAAGCAGCAGCTCGCATAGTCGCATTATAGATGGCCGACTTACTGCGTTGGCGTTGGCTATATGAATGCGAATCAACCACTTTAAAGCATAGGTTCGCGATTTCACAGAGATATAAATCAAGGTTGTGGGTACTGTGACCTCTCTCTTGTCAGCAATTTTACTGACTTAGGTTAGTTAATATGCCCCCCCCCCACCTCATCACATACACACCTCCCAGTCTTTTTGCCAGTTGATTATAAAAATACGACATGTTTGATCACTTTGCAAGATCTGCTTAACTAGTTGCACCAGCATTTCGCTTGCTGGTGGGTAAAATAAGGTAAAATGCAATGTTGAAGAGCCGTACGTACATGTAAATTTCCAGCGGCTTGGATATCGTCGGTGTGCCTTTGGTTGTGTAACAGCACCATGTATTGTGATTATCCAAAGTTACCTGGTTACTAAGGCTCTGTATAGAACGTTTCGCTCACGCGTGATGGCACCAATTATCGTTCGCTCCCTCTGGGGTTTGCAGTTTTGGGGATTTTTCTAGGGCAAAATCTCAGCCGTAGATCACTAGACTCATCCACCCCCGCTGTAAAACTGATCATGTCTGAGTAGAGTGACTGTGCATTGTCGTGCGCTTGCAGGTCGCAGCACCAACTACGTGCAGGCATGTTTACGTGAATGCTGGGATTGTGGAAGAGAACAGGGATAGTAAGCCATCTTGTGAAGAACGGTAGTAGATGGAAACAGTGGTAGCAAGTTGTATCATGAACCTGCATAGAGGGTGAGAACGTGGATAGCGTGTTGTTGTGAAGGTGCATAGAGAAACAGAGCAGTAGAAGCGAGCTGTCTTATAGCTGTTTAACTTTATATAGTGGTGTTGATCATATATTTATTCTCTAAGTTATTTGTGCAGCGGTCTGCCTCTATACCATGTCCAGCCCTTCGTAGCCTCTCACCGCTGCATATATTGTATATGACGATATGCTGTATTTATTGTTGTTGTTTTTTTGCACAAAGGATATAATCAGTGGCTGTTCTGTTGTGTCAGGAGTACAGCATTTATCAACTGAGCCCCCTCTCCCTGCATCATATGCCCACTGCAAAATAGCTTGGCACACATATACGTGCACGTGTGGCTAACTAACATTCCTCTGGAAAATGTCCTAGTGGAGTGCAGATATGTTTCAAGAGCATCTTCTTGGAAATGCGGTTGAAAAAAAGCATGAATCTGCTGTGATGTGGAATATAGCTCTATTCTTGTTCATGTTGTTTGCACGTGGTGCATGATTCTAAAATTTTGAGGACCAAACTTAGCCGAGCCGTTGCATCACAGTGCTTCTGAGCAGCTTATCAGGCAACGACCATTTTGTGTTAGTCGCCGAGATGACATTGTTTTGCACTTGTTTTTCCATTCGTGGATTTATCATGTGATGTAGCATGTGCACTGCTGCGTGTATTATTACACAAAACGTCCATGTGGAATCCCGACAGTGGATTCGTCATGACTCGACCAAAGTCATCGCTTTATACTTGCATTTACATGACCTATCATTGCTGCCAGCACTCGGCAGGTATGTATGCCTGCTGGGTGCGAAGGTCAGCAATTAATGGCAAGGGTTACGATGGTGAGCTGCAGCTTTTATTTCTGTAGTTACAGCTGCATTCAGTGGTTGAGCAGTGCAGCGCTAATATGAACGCCTGTATCAGTGTGTGGACGCAGCAGCAGCATTGTGAGAAACACACCAACAGACAGCCTCCCACCACTCGCCACGATTCTTCCACGACAAGTCTGCTAGAAGCGTTCTGTAGCCGTGTGCCCAATTCACTTGTATTTGACATCGAACTGTGGCGACTTGTTTTGAATATGATAAGTGGAAATTGTGAGAAATGTGTCTGTAGATTTTGCAAAGCCGTTTATTGTGTGCGTGTGTAAGTTGAGCAGTTTAGCTGGTCTTGTGTAGTAGGTGGTAGCAGTGTATTGTAGCATAAGAAACTTGTTGTACAGATTGAACAATTGAAGACAATAAATAAACATTAAATTACATACGGCACCAGCTGTTGTTTATAAACGTGAATTTTTGCCCAGTTTGGCAGTATGACTTCAATCTTTATATACACAGTATATAGAATAACACCCCAATTAGAATGAATTTTTATAATACTATTTACCATCACATCTAAACACTCACATCCATCTTATTTCTTTGCTAGATTACAATTTCCTTGTTTGCTTCGTTATACGTGTCATTAATTACACATTTACCACGTAAAACTTGTATAAATTATAAACAACTCTCACCATGATTAATGCAATCAAAAACCAAACAGCATCTCAGCATTCTTGCTCCCGTGACACTGGGTGGCCATGTATGCAACCCAGGGTTTCATGAGACGCAACTACTTGAGCAGTGACCACTTCAGCTGGTCTCTCGCAGATTGAATAACCTGTGAATGAGAGGACTAAGTTTAGTGGCTGGCTATGTGCTACGACACAAAACATTGAACTTACTAGTATTTATAGTACTCGCATTTAAGAAAAAAATAGAAGATTATTTCTAGTATTGACTTTCACTATTATTCAGAAATATTTACCTGTGCCATTGTCTGCTCTCCTAATGAAAGCTCATCTCCCCTCACTCCAGCCCTCAACACAACTTCAGCTGGATCCGACTGTATTACCACCCTGCGTATAAAATCAATAACAGTGTTCCTGCATGAGATAGATAATAATGCATCAATTTCTGTTAACCTTGATCCATGCATTATTCAGGAACGTGAGAAACTGCACCATCACAACATAAGCATGTAATTGACAATACAGTGCAATCTCTTGGAATATATACGACAGAAGCATGGCAGTTAGACACCACTGAGCCTGAATCACTTACCCTGCATCACAGATCTCATCCACGGCAAGGAGAATGGAATCGTAGTGTTCGAGGAATGTCCGTTTCTCCACCTCCTTCCTCAGTATCTGACTGACTGACTCAAACAGCGTGTTTAGAACACTCAGCAATAGCAGCTGTGTACAAGGAACATGAAAACTGTTTCAATAAAGGGGAGCACTAAATTTGGTAAATAATAAGCAAAACTGAAGTATGAAATCCTCATAATTTCTTTGCATTTTCACCCACTCACTTTCTGGTGGTGAGGGATGGTACGACCACAATGCCCCAATGTATATATATTATATACCTCATATGATTGTGCCCCACTGTGATATACTTGTTGAGTGTAGCTCCAATAAATCTCGTCAGGTACATGTGTACACCTACCTCATTTTCCCTCGCATTTCCAATGACACAAAAATTGAGATCCACACTTGCCCTATACAGACAAGTAAGTCCATCCAGCAATATGACTTCAGCTGAAAATAAGAAGTGAATGTTTATAAAGTGCTAACAAACAACAATATGAACATATATACGTACAATTAGAAACTCCACAATTTAGACAGATTCTGTATATTGTGAAATCCTGGTCAAAATACAATATGATTATATAACCATGTACATACCTAGTTTACTCATATAATGTAATGGGTGTTGCTATCCCCCGGGCGTGGAGGGAGGGTCACGTGATACAGTTGACGTATACTTCAAAATCATTACTCATCCGGTAACGCTAACTCCAATACCTCCAACGCTAACCATAACACTAAATATATATATCTCGGAGCGCTATATATATAGGTCCAAAAATCCACAAAAATTAATCTATGGTGTGGGGACAGATATCATGATGCAAAAACCCTAACCCTAACCCTAACCCTAACCCAATCCCTAACCCTAACCCTAACCCAATCCCTAACCCTAACCCTAATCCTAACCCTAACCCTAACCCTGACCCGAACCCTAATCCTAACGCTATCCTAACAGTAACACTAGTGCTGCCACGTTGCGGTAACCTCCCTCCACGCCCGGGGGATAGCATTACCCTAATGTAATGTGCTGCTGCCATCTAGTGGCAAATCCTGTAGTTAATGCCAAGTCAAGAGAGAAGTGTTGTATGGGTATCCAGATGAGACGGGATACTAGAGAAGCGTTGCCGAAAGGAGGTGTTGATCCGAAGCGCTAAGCGCAGATCTTGCGCGCAGTTCCGCGGCAAGGCGCACGCGACCGCGACAACGTCCTACGACAGTATGCAGCGCTGGCAGCTATGAATCCGTGCGCCGAATCCATAGGCCGGCGCACGGATCCATAGCTGCCAGCAAACAGTCGGCAATTTTAGCGGGGGACACAGAGGGCAGACATTTGGCACGTGGGAGGAACTCGCGACTTACATGGGGGGTCGTACAGATGGAGGGGGGGGCGAGAGCGAAGCTTTTGATTTCGCCGTGGTTCCATTTACGTGTGGTCTTAGGCGTTTTCACTATAAGTTCCAAACATAAAAAGTTCGAAGCATAAGAAAAATCGGACGATTAATTAATAGAAAATTCGATAAAAGTGATACGAAATAGTACGCGGATTGTGCGCCCAGTTACCTCTTCCAAATCATACGTTGTTTAAGAATCGCCATTCGCTGCATTTTCCCGGAGCTCCGCCCACTTTAAAAATAGTGTTAGCATTGTGGCAGTGGTATCCTGAGTGTACAAAGGAGTTTTTCGATTTCGATTTTCCATGACAGCAGTAAGGCGAAAGTGCAGCATTTCAATACAGCTTGCTTCATTAGCATTCTATATAGTATGTAATCATTTCGTGAGCTTCTTTTTGTATATATAAACAATTAATACATTATCTGCCATCTCTATCATCTATGTGCATGACCTTGCCTTATATCATATGCACCCCTAGTCCGCAAATGCAGACGTTATAACTCCGCTTTGCTAATCTGAGGGTGCGGGTTTATCATCACCCCCATTACTGGGGTCTGCGTCGGCTCGGACTAATGCACCCCTACCACTACAATCTCCCACTGACATTGTGATTGTCAGTATCAGGAACTAGCTAGAGTAAATTGCTTGCTATATAAGCAGGGGTTGTTTAGTATAGGGGTAATGTAACCCTAGCAATACCGTTTCTTGGAGCTATCACTCAGGGTGATACAATTGTATGCACATCTACGAATACTTCTATTAGTATTACTACAAGTACATGTTACAATAATTACTAGTAGTAGTAGTAGTAGTACTATTAGTACTAGCACTACTGCCACAACTCACTAGTACTAGTACTAGTTACTACTACTAGACTACTAGCTGCAAGAAACGGTATTGCTAGGGTTAGAATATACCCTATATTGACGTTAGTCACACAGCCTGGTCAGGTTACTAGACTATAAGTACCTACTAGTACTAGTACCAGTACTACTACTACTAGTTACTACTATAGTACTAGAGCTACTAGTTCTACTACTATTACTAATACTATATAGTATAGTGCTAGAGCTAGTACTACTACTACCACTATAGTACTAGCTGCAAGAAACGGTCTTTGCTAGGGTTAGATCTGTGTAAACACAATTTGTTGTGTAGTCGAGTAAACAACACCAGAGCTTATGTTTTCTCGTTCTAAACATACCGACTATAAATAAAGATTACTTGAACTTGAACTTGATGAGACAAAGGCAAGGTACTGCGTCACAGAAAGAAACATTTTCACTAAAAGATAGTCTAGCGTGTGCAACTGTCACCGGGTACAAGTCTAGACGTTAGGCCGGATATAGCCAGTCATGAGCCGGTCTAAGCTGCCACCCGAGCTGTAGGATAAGTGGTAGCGGAACGCATTGCATATAGCCTCGTTGCGCGCCATCTATCGCACGCCATATGTAGTACACTGATCAACAACAAGAGCCGCAGAGCGTCTGGGCTCATCTGAGGTCTGTTGCTACGATTATAAACGTAAAATTTCAGTCGTGCGTAGTACCACATTTGTTAGGCGCAGATATGCAGACACGCAGTTGCGTACACATCATTGTTAGGACACGCCCACTATCGCGGAGGGGGGGGGGGGGGAGGGTGGGGGAGGGGGTAGGGGGGGAGGTGGCTCTTAAATAGCAGAAAGGCAGTTCACTCTTTGTTAACTAGATAATTAGCATGAACTGCGTTATGCTTAACTAGTTTAACTACATAACTGCACGTATAAGTTTTTTTCATGCAGAAGTCGGAGTGAAAAAACTGATCAAACGACTATAATCTGACACACAGGACCATTACGGTGAACTTGGACACAGACCAACTGTCACGTGCAATGCTGCAAGTACCGAAAATTGCCTGACAAAGACACCAACCTTCCCCTGCATGTGCGTTCTTGGAGATCTAATCAAGGATATACATCCCTGTCCTCCCGCGGGTCGTCTACTGCACATAGCACATAGGACGAAGCAGAGACATTGGCGGCGAGAGGAGGAAGCATTGCAGAAAACCGAATATGAAGGTCCTGCCTGAGCGTTGGATGGAAACACACAAGCGACTCCACCCCCTGTAGTGGGCACCAACCACGTCAGCGATCAGAACCAAACTGCCCTAGCCCATGAGATGGACTAAACTGGACAGGTGTAGAGTCCGCCAAGATGGACCAGTTACGTGGTCCGTAGTCGACGGTGTCAGCGACGGAGTTCAGTCCGCAATAGGAAGTTCCTGCCGGATGTATAACACCGTTACACCGCCACCTGCGCAACCGTACAGCTATCATTGATGACATCAGCAAGTTATGCCATCTAGCATGGCAGGTCAAAGCCATGCGAACCTCCATGAAGCCACTCGTGAACATGCGAGAGGCTCGCGCACTCAGAGTCATCACCAACACCAACCGGTACCCCGGACACCGCTACCAACGTCGGTCCAGCGTCATCGGGTCACCCACTCCCAATGACCAGCGCCACAGGTCCCCGGATGCCATCAGCGCTCGACCGACTTCCGACGAGACAATCCATTAACAACCGCTATACCTCGACAATCGCCTGGCGGCGTCCTACCCATCGACAACCAGCAACTGTACTCCTCGAGGCATCACCACGAAGGCCCCAGTCCCACAGCCGACACAGTAAGCTCGGACGATCCTGCCAGACCGACCAGAACCGCCCCGACACGAGTAAGCAAACAACCTGCTGGCAGACATGCGGGCGATGGATGAATATGACAAAATAGTCGCCTGCTATTTGCTGACATTCATTTAACGTATTAACTTGTGGCATCATAAACTTTACTTGTTAATTCTTAACGTTAATTTCGTTATGGCACAAGCTGCTCGTATCAATCATTGAGTTATTCACCATAAAGTATGTAAAGACATCACTCTTGAAGATTTATGCTTTCGTTTCATGTGATAACTCTTAATCAGTCAGTCTTGGCACCTCTCTCTAAATACGAGACATCCCAAGACTTGCGGGAATAGACAATAATACACCCGCGTAATCTCTTGTCCTATTGTTCAGATTGAGTCCGCATCATTTGTCATATCTGCTTATCAAGTACATCATTGAATAAAACTGATTCACAAAATGGATGGTTCTATTTATTAACAGTACAAACAAATCCATGTTTTACCTCTCTACTTGCAGGCGTCAAAAGGTTATACCGACACGTTACTCTTCGCATCGTTCAGCAGAAGGGGACATTTCATCGGTACCTTTCAATAAAGCCATTAAAAATGGCGATAGGTCAGCCGCTGAAACAAAAAGTTTTTTCAATCGCTCGTCAGACCATGTCACTCAGAAAATGTCTAAAATCCTGCCCTGCTGCCCATTGACCTTTGCTGTGACCTCCAATTTCGGCACAGTGATGGCTTTTCCTACCATGATGCTATACACCGACTATCACGAGCCTAGGTCGAGCCGTTTAGATTTGTGCCGCAATTCTGCATTTTCAAAGGTCAAGAGGTGTAAAAGAAGGGGGAACATTCACTCCTTAACTTAAGGTATAGGGAGGCTTTTGACCCCCAGCTTCGACATCCCAACTCGTTTTCGGATTACCCCCCAACGACCCGAATATCGTGACCGTACGTCGAGCGGTTAAGATTTGTGCCCAACTGTTGACGGACGCACGGACGCACGGACGATCATGCGATTCTACAAGCTGCATCTGACTATGTCAGATGAGCTAAAAACAAACAAACAACAAAGTTCAACTGCGTTTTTTACACGAAACCAAGCGCGCCGAGTAGCGAACTTCAAATTAGGGAGCATTTCTAGGAAATGTCCTGCTACCTGGGTAGTGAAACCCGTAGTGCAATGGCCAGAACTGCTCAACTGAGCGAAGTTGGTGCTTGCATTATATAAGTAAACCGTGTAAGGTGATGTTGAAGGTGCAGCGAAGTCGTGTTAGTGTTGCCGCTGAGCAACGTTTGCGTGCTTCGCACGGATATCCGGGCTGCCGATCGTCAAGAGTCCATAATAGAGACTCTTATGGACTCTTGGACTTATGGACGCTTATGGACTTTATTATGGACTCTTGATGGGTGTCCAGGGGCGAATAAACGGAGCCATGTTTGTATAGCATTACTTCTGACTTCTCTCTGTTGTTTCCATGAATATTACACTGGTGATGAGGATGGGATCTGAACCCACGCAGGCAAAGCCCAATGGATTATTATGTATATGAACTATCTCTACTCCAAGGAATGCTACTTAAAATTCCATCTTAGTATTTCTTACCATTGGACTTGTGCATTTTGTTGAAAAGATCTTTTTCAAATCGGTTTTGCTCTTTTGCTGTTGGAAATGTATCCCCATAGTACTGAAAAAGGACCAACAAAGTAAATACCAGATTGAAGAAGTCACACAGATCAAACATATCAAGCAAATAAAAATTATCATCAAATGTTTAAAGCCACAATAATGGATATTCATGATTCCTCTGATTTGTACATCAAACTACTTACTAAATCACATTATATTAGATTACTAAGTTGCAGAAAATGTACTTTATAGTTACCTTCACTAGTAACCGGTTTCCGTCATTATCCAGTATCAATATTGCCTTTACTGTATATAGAGTTATATCCTGAAATATAATAGTTTTACAGAGTGGCTATATCATGCCCGGCAGCCGGCATATATCTGACGGCTGCCGGGCACAGTCTTCAATTTCCTAAATGCCCGGCAGTTTTTAATTTTCTGCGTTATCTCAAGTAAACAAGTGTTAGGGTTAGGGTTAGGGTTAGGCATAGCTCTAGTACTATAGCCCGCGTTCGATTAACTGCCGCAGGGCTATAGTACATTGTCGGCTGTAAATACCAACTACGACCTGTTACCACCTGTCCCCATGAAAAATGGATCGCAAAACGCAGTTATCGGGCTTTTTAACACTTATTTATCTACATGGACATCTCACCTATCTTTTTGAACACTTTCAACAACTTTACACCATGTATTTGTCCTTTTATTCCACAAAATAAGCACTACTGGCATTTCATTTTGAAACGAAGTGGCGCGTGCGCATGCGGACACGAACATNTATATATATATATATATATGTTAATCTTCAGGTGGCGCGATTCTAGTACATTGTCAACGACAAGAGAACGTCATCACGTAGGTCCCTCCGCCTCCAGAGTAAATTACTCTAAAGCTTCATTGCCTAGCATTGTCAGACGGCGCAAGGTACAGTACAATAGGCTATAGTCGCCTTCCGGATCACGCTGAACGATTTTCCGCACACGCCATATGCTTTCATCAACAAATAAATATAATAAATAATAAATAATAAATAATAATAAATAATAATAATAATTATTATTATTATAATAAATAATAAATAATAAATAATAAATAATAAATAATAAATAATAATAATAAATAATAATAAATAATAATAACTATAATAAAACGCACGCGCCATTTGTTGCGACCACCCCAGTTGCTTCGCGGGATATATACATACGCGGATTAAACCATAAATAGCAATACAACGTCGATTTAATCTCTGATCATATGCCGATGCGTATTCAGGGTAGTCTCGTTGTTATACCGTGGCTCAATACATTCGAGAGCAAGATTCTGCCAATTTAAAAATTCCACTAAATCACTGAGATGGGCCCCAGTAAGGTTTACTGCTGCGCCGGTGATGCTCGCGGATACTGATATATATATATATATATATATATATATA